AGTGTTACTCCATAATGGGCTAATCTGACCTCATTTTTAGACAAATTGACCGAGAATCGACGGGCTTCACTGAGCAAATACGTTCCCAGGCATTCGAACGTGCCAAGGAGTTGCATGTATGTCCTCCTGTCTAAATATCCAATGGTCAATCAACGTTACTGACTAAATAATTGCGTAAGATGCCGGGGTTTTGGGGCATTGCATCGCCCATGACCTTATGGAGGAGTTTGGTCCGTACGGAGATGTCCGGGACGCAATGGCGGTGTTATATACAGGTAAATAAATAGTCCATGCAATTTATAGGCACTAAGAGAGTTTATCCAGCCTCTTCTGATACTGTTCGTGCCCTTCTATAAAGTCACCCCGAGCTATTGACAGACAATGTACAAAGACCACTGCGGCGGTGGTCGCATTTCTTCATGCCATGTTCCTATTTCCGGATATATCCGACCGTGTCTTTCAGGAGATTCAATCGGTTACCTCGGGGGAGCGCTTGCCTCAAGTGGCTGATAGAACTCGTTTGCGATACACGGGAGCTGTCTGGAAGGAAGCAATCCGTTGGCGTCCTTTCATTCCTATCGGTAATTTCATCTCCTTTTCTGGCCCCTTTGTGGTTCTTACCGATTGTGTTGTAGGCGTACCTCACGTGAACGACCAGGATGAGATCGTCAATGGCTATCTCATACCAAAAGGAACAGTCATCCACCAGAACAATGGGTAGAAGTAGTCTCTTATGGAGTAACACTTGAATAAATACTTTTTTTTGTAGGTTGATGCTAACAGATACACGGGTTTGGGGAGACCCAGAAGTCTTTAGACCAGAGAGGTTCTTAGAGGTAGAGAAGGGAACGATGAACAGGCCCAATCCTTTGGTGCTGATATTCGGCTATGGTTCGCGGTAAGTATTTGGTGGCTAAATGTCTATCCTCCGATGCTGACGAGATGCGGCCAGAATTTGCCCTGGCATGTGCATCGCAGACAAGGTGGCATTCCATCTTGCGACTACTATTCTAGCGCTCTTCAATGTCATTCCATTGAAAGGTCATCAAATCCCCGATCCGAGTACAATTGAATATACCGACACTACGTTCCGGTGGGTATTGCTATCTGGGCCATGAGGTCTCCATCAACCAACTGAATCGGCCTGATCTAGTCTTCCTGTCGGATTTGAGTGCCGATTCACTCCAAGGGATGTAAAGACGGAACAGTTATTAGGCATGGTGGCGTTAAACGATTGAGCAGTTTAGAAATGGTCAACTGCGCTTTAGTATTCAACCTTGTTTATCTATCTATTTTGTCGTGGAGTTTGAATATAAACCAAGTCTATGTGCTCTCAGTTACGGCGAATGAATTTGGGATTTCAGTACTGTCAAACAAAGCAAATAGGGTTGGACCGGCCATGCTCATCCATTGATTCTTGGCACGCCGAATACTCAATATACTATACATAAAACAGTTATTCTACAACTGTCAGACGTGAAAAAGCCTCAAATCGCCATGGATGCTACAGTGTTTCGACTGGGTCGCTTGACATCATATCGTCTTTAGCAAAAGAAAAGTCGATCCTCACATTTTTTCTAGCTGTCTAGTCCTAGGTTCCAATCTACTGGTGAGACGTTCCTATTTCGGAACATTCACTCGATTGAGAAGTCATCGCTGAAAAGAGGATGTACGCACGCCCACTTGTCAACGTTGAGGTGCCTCACCCGAAGGGGGACACCAGGGACTCGCTATCCCTTCAGATCCCTCATGCATAATGCTTGGGTCATGTAGCGCCAAGACATTGCTTATCACCCTTTTCTTCCCCTACAAGCGGATAGCAGTCCTTGCGTTCGTCTCCTCGCCAATAATAGGAAGTCTAACCAGTCACAATGAATGCCTTTGGAATCAATATGGATAAAATAACCACAAGCGCGCGCGATGCTCCACTTCAAGCTTGCGTTGTCTCATTTGGAGCCGCCTCACTCTGCTACCTCACCATCAAAGGGCTACAAACAATTCTATCCAAGGACGTTCATGTTCATTCATATCCTCCCGGTCCGCCTCGAAAGCCAATACTCGGAGCTCTCACGAGCTTCCCAAAAGACCACATTTACGAGCGCTTCAATGAATGGGCAGCGCTTTATGGTACGAGCTATTCTAAGCCAATTCGATGAATAAAGAAGACTCATATACTCTATATAGGTGATATCGTATATGCACCTGTCCTTGGGATGGACATGGTGATCCTCAACTCCCATGAGGTTATTCATGAACTGCTTTCTAAAAGGCCAAACACGACAGCTGGACGTCGTATCGGGTATCTCGTGACGGATATGTAAGTAAATAACTCTTACGTTACCATACACAAATATTGAAGAATTCATGATAGCATGGGAAACGGATGGAGTGCCCCGTTTCTTCAACCGGGATCCCATCATTCCAACCAGAGAAAGATGCTTCGACGAGGCATTGGTCCTCAGAGGATCGGAAGCTACGATTCTATGGTCGAGTCGGCAGTTGCAAAGCTTATGGCCAAACTGGAGACTTTCCAAGGCAATCCAAATCTCGCTTTTCAGCAGTAAGTTTAAATTTCCACCTTCTTAGGCATGATACTCATGCTACAACCCCTTATCATGGTAGCGCCTTGGGTGGTATAGTCTCTAGATTCACATACGGCGAAAAATTATGCAGCGAAATGGGCGATGAATTGGTAAAATGGAACCTGGATATCATGGACCTTGTCAATGAAGCATTCTTTGGACTTTGGATGGTGGATATTTTCCATTTCCGTGAGCACTTTATATTCAATTCAAGCATTTGAACTAATAAAGTTCATGGACAGTGCGCTTTATTCCTGATTGGGTTCCTGGTATACGTTTTAAGTATGCTTTACTCTCGCATAAACATGGTATATCAGAGCTAACACTGCGTTATATAGAGAACTCGGTCGCCAGTGTACTGTCTTAGCGGAAAAAGTACGATGCCGAGCTTACGCCAAGGGGTTAGAGCTTTATGTACGCCGATTGAGCCATTGAGCTTTCTAATTGCTAATGCTGAATGTTGTTGCCTTCGCACAGAAATCCGGAGACCTGGACCATTGTATTCTTAATGACCTCTTGGAGGAATTTGGTGATGATGTGGATGTACCGGATGCAACCTCAACTCTGTTCGGTGGTGAGTCTATCTATCAAACGTATTGCTATAAGAAAGGGTGTTGAACCTTGTCTGTCAGCCGCTTTAGATACTGTGAGTCTACCTCGTACTTGGACAGGGTTGCAGAATGTCGCTTATCACCCATTGAAACCTTTTTCTAAAGACCACAGGGGCGATCATTGACTTTGTTCTCTCCCTGTTCCTCCACCCGGATGTATCTCAGCGCGTGTTCGAAGAGATACAATCTGTCACCCAAGGCGTTCGGTTACCCACAATTGCTGATAGGCCAAATCTACCTTACACAGAGGCCGTTTTCAAAGAAGCTCTGCGGATACGACCCTTCATGCCTCTTGGTCAGCTGAATTCCTCCAAAATCTGACTCTATTGGGATATCTTACGTAATTGACTACAGGCGTGCCCCATGTCAACACTCAAGATGAGGTTATCGGAGGGTACTTCATACCCAAGGGGACGATGATTCACCAATGTGTATAGTAAGGCACTTCTTCCTTCTCCTTGCTATTACCTGACTCCTGCCGGCCAGCTCGATATTCCATGGTCCTCGGGGTATGGGAGGATCCCGATGTGTTCAAGCCCGAGAGATTCTTGGGGCCTGATGCATCAGAACGACCAAATCCGCTCACTGTCATCTTTGGCTATGGAATGAGGTACGGAATTGTATTTCGCCAAGTCAGTATATGTAGTCTGACCAAACTTAGGATATGCCCCGGTATATATCTCGCTGATAGGGTGGCATTCCATATGGTCGCTACCGTTGCGTCTCTCTTCAATATCGTTCCACTTGAGGGCAAGGAGGTGCCCCTCCGTGAAGCAGTCGAATGGGACGACTCTGCTATCCAGTATGAAACTTTTCATTTTGATAAAAAGTTGACCTGATTCCGATCTTGCTGTGACTCTAGGCAACCAGTTGGATTCGAATGTCGCTTTACAGTTAGAGATGAGAAGGCAAAACATTTGCTCAAGACCGTCGCCTTTCATGATTAGGTCATGATTGACTGCCCTCAGCTAATGAGGGTTTGAGATTCTGGTCTCAGCTGGATGTATGTCAACCTTGGATTCTAGTGTTACTCCATAATGGGCTAATCTGACCTCATTTTTAGACAAATTGACCGAGAATCGACGGGCTTCACTGAGCAA